ACAAGTAGAAATCTCAGGAATTCGATCATCTGGAAAGGAGATGTCAATGGTGGGGGGTGTAGGTTGCAAAACCGATCCATTGGTGTGGCTCTTAACAGAGCCTCCGACTTTAAATGAGGGAAGGGGGTGAAAACTGTCCAGAGAGGTGGAAGGAGGGAGGGGCGGGAGGGGAGTGTAGGATGTAGGAGCTTGGGGGGGATTAGGGATGTGTGGGACTGTGAAAATTTAGGATGGCTTGTCTGATTGGGAGAGGCATTAAAGGCCTTAGGGATAGAAGAGTGAGCTTTGGGCTTATTGGAATGGTCCTTGGAACTTGGCTACTGCTGTTCAGTACTGGGGAAGGGCCTAGAAGTAGAACCATGGCCCAACTCGAAAGGCCCGATGGATAAATTATCAAAAGAGTTAAATGGCCCAAAAGAGTTGTGTAATTCAGTAATGTCCCCTTCATGTAGGATTGAAAAACGAGAGCCTGAGGTGCCAGTGACATAACTGCCTTACCCTTGTGCAGAGTGGGTGGTGCATTAGGCGACGTGCGAGCACTTGGGACGTGGTTACAGAATCACCCTTTGTGGAAGAGGTTGTACGAGAGCGATTAGTGGCTGTACCCCTATTACGTGTCTGTGCTATCATCCATGGTCCAAATTTCTGACCCTTCTCAACTCTGGTCGTCGGCAGTTGAACAGTCCCGTCTCAACTCGGGGTGTCGGCATTGGAACCAACGACGGACAAACTCCCTAACAATACCCATACTTGTCACACTCAAAATAGATAAGATGTAAGCCTTCATATTCTACAGGGAATTCAATATTATTGATGCTCACCCTGGAGATGAGTGCATGTTCCAGATTGAGCTCAACACAAACTCTTGCAAACCTCCATCTAGTGGCATCAGCGGAAAGCCTATCAGTTTTAATAGCTCGTCCAAGCAAATTCCCTAACCGCATCAATAATTGCTTATTAAAATACTCAATCGGGATACCAGGAAATCAAACCCATACCATTGCAGAAGGGAGGTCATCGAAAATTGGTCGGAAATCAGGTCGCCATTTGCTTACCGTTAAGTAATGCCCAAGAACAATCCATGGCCCATCAAGAAGGACATGAAGGTAATCCACTTTACAAGCAAAACGAATCAAGTAGTAACCCTCTCCGACGTCAACTATGTCAAAATGCTGTTGTAATTGCCACACTTGTTTCATCCCCTGGGTTAGGAGACTAAAACCAACGGTTCGCCCTAAGTCTTTAACGATGAGAGCTTTGCGCCATAGAGCTCGGAGTTTGACTAATTCATCCAGTGGAACAGAGAGCCGAGGCCAGTGAGAGGTGGAACCTGCGCTATCACCATCAACATCGACAGAATCAACAAGTTCATCATCCTCACTATCGCCAGTATACCAGCGTTTGGTATTATCATTTGTAAGGGCCTCTCGAAAGGAAAACACTTGGGTACCACGGGGGCTATATTCGACGCCTTTCAATTCAACAGTGTTGACTTCAACCACACCGATCTCTTCTATCGACCCATTCTCTCACCTTATTTTAACCTTCTTTTTACTACGCCGGAGCAAATCGGCTTCTTCGGTAGAAAAGGGTTCGCGAGCACTTTCTCTTTCTAACTCCATATTTTCACACGATTGACGAAAAATTATTTACCTATTATGTATTTTACTCCCTCTAACTTGTCTCTATAAAATAGGAGGGTGTGAAAAGGAGTTTTGGATTGTAAAATAAAAACAGCAATGCTAGGTATCATGAAAAGTCTTTCATGAAAATAATCATGAAGAATTTGTGACCTTTGGATTACACTTACAATAAAGCACCACACACTAATCAAGGTAATCTAAGGGTTACAAATCTTTCATGATCATTTTCATGAAAAAATTTTCATGATCCCTAACATTTCTCAAATAAAAAATACTATACGACCATTGTTTGGGTGTTCCACACCAATGTGAAGATTTTTCAAATATTTGTTAATATTAGCTTCAGCTTGTATATGTTTTCTTACAATGATATATTCCAAAAATCCTTTTTGCATCCATTTTTTGGGAAAAATAGTTTGGTTGTGTTTTAGTTCCTTTATTTTTATTTTGTGTTTGATTTTTCATGATTTAAAAAACAAAATAATGAAAATTTTAAAAACATTCATCATTTATATATATTTACAAAATTGTTTTTGAGATCTCTGTTAGTAAAAATTATGTTAATTTGAAGTCGATAGGATCAAACAATAATTCAAACAAACAAGCCAACCAAAGAGATCAAGCGACTGTGTTTTTTATTCAAATGTCCTAAAAGTACAAAGATTTTTTTGGAACAAATGTTACAATCAGCAAGATGAAACAAAGTAAACAAAGCAAATTAAAAATGATTTCAAGATGAAATCACTAACGTTTATAAAGGTTACAAATTATAGAGAGAAACTATTCCTAAACTAAGATAAAACTAAATTGTTATTGTGTTGTTGATGATCTCCCCTGATCTTCCCTTCTTTGCCTATTTATAAGCTTCACCCCCAGTTCCTTCAAGAACTGCTCTAGGCAATTTGTTCCTTTAAAGCCACGTTGCCACAAACATGCTGGGAGGTTACTTCCACCAGCCACGTTGAACTTTCCTAAACCATTTTTCATGCCTCCTGCTCGAAGCATAACGACGACAATGACGGTGACAATAATAATAATAATATAACCATAATTTATTTATAGAAACACGATTCACAGTCTAAATCGACAGATAAAAATTAACAAGTTACAATTAATAAAATTATATTTGGCCATAGTTGATAGGCCACAATCAATTAGACTAGATTTGGTCATGGTTGATAGGCCACAATCGACAGAAAAATAATTTATGGTTCATTATCTTTTCTCTCTAAAACAAGATTGAACTTCACCAGCACTCCTACGTGTCTCTCATGAATTGTTGGCCCATATCGACGGGTTATTTTGCCATTTACAAGCATTAAATGCCTCTTAAAAATTGACCCATCATTTTTTCAACTATTTGTACTTGATTCACAGATTGCCTTCATCACATTACACATATTTTGGCCCAATAAGTAAAACACCTTCAAGCTTCTTTGCCACGTGTCATAAGTAACTTTATGGCAACTTTTCATTTCTTGTTGACAGAAGAATTACAAAATGGGTGCAAACAACTTTCCAAATCACTTATTTATGTTTTTTAAAATGTGAGTTGTTTTAAAAAATTTAAAAAAATCTGACATTTTTAAACCATCCTAATTAATCACAAGAATGGCCTTTTTTTTTTTCTTTTATTTTCTTCCTTAATACACTTAAAATGGATTGTTTTCAAAAAAAATTATGAAAACATTTTCTAAAAAACAGTTCAACAAACAAGATTTTTGTGTTTTTCAAAAAAATAAAAACAAATATAAAACAAAATCAAATAGGCATACACTTTTTAAAACAAGATTGTTAAATCCCCAACCTAAAAGGTTGCATCTACAACAAATTCCCAAAATTCCTGTTAGATAATCACTTCCGTGAACCAGTACAACTCCATTGTTGACGATAAATAGCTTGCTACGAGCATAGAAACCAATCATATAATCATATACATTATGTATCCAATTTAATAACTGATTTCTATATTCGTCAACTTATTGAACAATAAAAAGACCATAGGCAGAAGGGTTTATTTTCAGCCAAGCATGTCTTACTTTTGTCTTTATTTATTTTGAGAATCATATAAAATGCAAACAATCTTTAAGAGAATAATCTCATCCCTCCATATCTTATTCATCAAATCCTGATACCAAGTCTTCCAAGAGTCTAAAGCAAAGAAAAACCAAAATCAACAAGAAGAACAAACAAAAAAATACAAATAGCACCAAGTAGAGTACACAAGATCAAATCTGCTAAAAATGTTAGCACCACACATCAGCTGATGAACAAGATGGCCCTGCAACCTGAATCGGAACCGTTTTCCACTCAACAATCTCACCACAATGGCCACCTTTAACTCCCACAACTTGTAACTGATTTGAACAGTCAACACGAGTTTCAGCGAGAGTTACTTTTCTTGCATCAACTGCTTTCAACCGATATCGCTCTGCCCTAGAACCAATAACCTGGCCTAATATTGACGCTGCAATGGTAAATGCCATAGCTGTCTTAGGCATCAACACAGACTTCCTAAGTATCCCTATGAATGGAACTGCTGCGTGGACCGCTGCAAACCATGAGGGTGAGAATTTTTCAGTGTGTTCTCTCCATATTCCTAAAGGAACATTCACAGCCATACCCAATACTCCAATGACAAGAACCTTTGCAGGGAGGGGTTGGGGTCGGAGGTTCTTTGCAAAGGCTGTTCGTGAAAGGGCTGCTCGGGCTGCAACAATGGCTGGGGGGCACTTGAGATTTATGCCGGGAGGTGGCTGAAGAGCCTTTGCCACAAGCGGAAGGACGTGACTCACTGCTCGGTATGACTTTGCAATTGGGCAATTCCCGGTTTCTAACCATTCGTTACCCATTGCTTCGTGCTTCGAGTCTCCTCCCTGAAAGATTGAAATGTAAGTGTCAAGAGAGGAGCGATTTCCAAAGTTATGCTATTGGCATCTTAACATCTAATCTGAGATTCAGAATTGTAAACTACAGGTAGGTTCGAAACTCACAATTCTTCAAACCCCAAATTAAGGTTCGATTTAGCAAATGCTTTTTTAGCAATGTTTTTATTTGGATTTTTTCATTTTAGTGAACTTTTTATTAAAAAATTCACTTTTCTGAAAAGTTTTTTTTGAAAAATTGAATTTTTTGAAAAAAGTCCATTAAAGACGACGACGACAACAATAACAACAACAAAAAAACTTAATACATAGACTTTATTTATTTATTTATGTTTTTCAATTTTTTTTGACTTTGTAGATTCTTATAGACTAAAAAACCTAAAAAGTAAGAGATTTGGATGCATTAAAAAAAATTCACTAATATATAGCATATATACATTTTGAGTATTTTCACAATATTTAAAATACAGTATTTTTCCAATTTTCTCTTCATTATATAGCATACATGAAATTGATCATAATCTCCAATCTAGGAAACCTTTTGTGCTTTGTTCATAGTTGTATACCTGTGAAGAAGTTCCTTTCTCTGATGATTTGGATTTTCTTTTCTGATTCTTCCATTTCTCAGAGAATGCATCAAAGCCAAATGGTCCTCCAGCTCCAAAACCTGAAAGACTAATGGAGGCGGCCTTTGCTGCTAAAGGATTGAATTGACATGGTGTAGGTTCAGATTCTAACTTCTCAGAATGCATGAATGGTCTTCCAGAGAGTGGGACAACGCCATTTTGCCCATGGAAAAGCCTAAATGCATTTTCAAAATTGGGTCCATCCTCAAAAATTGGACCTTTAGCTCCTCGTACCTGAGTAGGAAAAGAAGAAAAACATAAAAAGGTAGTCCAGTCTAATTAAGTCCAGCAAAGGGTAAAGTCGGGCATCATGATAGACAATATGGACTATTTTGTTTCCTCATAGTACCTGTGTCCACTGGATATGACATGTGAGATATGTGTTTGACACTTGTACTAAATTTAGGAATGAGTATATTTGGGAATGGATAGGAGTAGCACCGAAAGAAGATAAGTTGAGAGAGAATAGATTGAGATGGTTTGGTCATATTCAATAGAGACCAACAGAGGTAGTAGTGAAGAAATGCAATGCAGTGACAGTAGATGGAAGTGTTAGGGGGCGAGGTAGACCTAGATTGACGTTGGCTAGCGTAGTAAATAGAGATGTGAATTTACTTAATTTGACTAATGAAATGGCATTTGATGGAGCCGCGTAGAGAAGGAGGATTCATGTAACCGACTCCATTTGATAGGACTTAAGGTTTGGTTGGGTTTGGTTTGGATTCTCTAATTTTATTTGACGTTTGAAGAAGAAGAAACTCACATTTGCTAGTAAGACATATTTCTTACCTCTAACCTGAATGGGAGATAGAAATTCCATATTCCTCCCAAATTTTATTTAATTTTAAGTACATTTTCAAATAATTTACATGATATTTTTTATCTAATAATATTATACGACATGCAATATATAAGTGTGCAAGATATGTCCCCGATACTCATACCCGAGTCCATGTAACATAGATGATAGATGCAACAGGCCCTTTAGCTAACAAGTGAGCTATCAGGCTAAATAAATGAACTTTTCTAACTCAGCACCCAATGCCAGTGCTATGCATCAATGCACCATGTGGGGTTTAAAGTTACCAACAAAAATGTAAGATGATAATTTAATAATAATATGCAGTGAACCGAGGAGACCTAGATAAGATGAAGAAAACACAACTACATTATGATCAAAATCATGAGATGCACTAGCAAGTCATTAATAAATTATACAACTTACAGGCATTGGGAAACTCATTGATGAGGAGAAGGAGAAATTAGTAGGCTCATTAATGTTCCGCAGAAATGGACACCTAGTAATGTCCTGATGACAAGGTTGAGAGTCTTGACACAACTCAGTCACATCCCTGAAGAAAAAGTCCATTTCACGGAAGCAGGATCACCTACAAAGAGAAAATAAGTGTAAATAACAACATCCTCACAGCGTTGTCAGTCAAAAGGGCAAAATGTCAACTATGAACCTAGTCAAACCAACATGAACATTATAGTAAAAATCGATATATGAAATGGCTTTAAGACATGTAACAATGGATAGCAGCGTTAAAATTTCATACGAGGAAGAGAAATGTGTAATGTATAGTTATAAATCTAAACCAAGCTTAGAAATGGCATTGGTAGGAAAATGATGTCACGTGAATGTACAGCTAAATCAATTTGCAATTCACAATAAAAACTGAGCCGGCAAACAATCAACTAATTGAATCCTAGAAACTCTGTAGTTAGGGTTGTCAGTGGTAGAATTCAGTAAAGCTTTTCAAGACCCATCATAGATGTATCATAAAATAAGAGAACTCTGCTTCAATAGTCGTAAAGGTTACACAACAAAATCCCCATTATTTACACTTTTTGAGACCAAATTCCTATCCAAAAAACTGTGAAGTATGGGTTGAATATTAAAAAAGCTTGAGCTTTCACTCGCTCAAGCCAATGACCACCGGATTCTACCTTACCTTATTATGTGAGAAAACAAAGTCACAGTGAGAAAGGATAAATGATACAATTGGGCTGCTGTGACCAAAGCTTGAGCTCAATTTTTTTGGATCATTGCCCTAAACTATAAACATTCCACAAAATCTCTCAAAAAACTTAAAACTAAAACCAATAATATCAGAGAATCTTCATTAACCTAATCGTCAATTCTCACCAACATCCTTAGGATGCCCCGACTAAGTGAACTTAGACCTCTAAATTATTAAGGTATAAATCATAAAACTTAAACTATTTGACCTTTTCAAATCAATAATTCCAGAGGTTCTTAATTTACCTAATAATCAATTCTCACCAAAATCCTTTGGTTAACCCCTCTAACTGAACTTAGACCTCTAAATTATTGAGGTATCAATCATAAAACTGGGGTTTTATACACATAGATTCATGTAAAGCTCAACAAAGATGTAATTTCCAACTACTTTGTATCAGCTAAAGCAACATCAATGTCAAAAAATTGATACTTCCCCAAGTAATGTCTTGAATCCAAGATCTCAGGATTACAATTCAACACTCAAATCATCCATACAACATTAAGGATCAAAAGCTCAAACTTCAACATCACAACCCCACTTTTCACATCATCAATCAGAAACAGCAAATTTGACATAGCACTCTCCAAAACTTAACAATCCAAGAAATTGACAACAATCCAGATCATTTCAATCAGAACCCAATATATCTAGAGACATATACAAACAAATAAAGATGTATCTAAGTACATCAAACAAGAAACAAGCAATTGTACATTGAGATGCAGCCCCAGAAGGTGGGCTTTTATACACAATTATACACATACATTCATGTAAAGCTCAACAAACACATAATTCCCAACTACTTGGGGTCAGCTAAAGAAAACAACAAAGGAAGAAAAATGACTTTTGCCCAAGTAATGGCTTAAATCCAAGGTCTCAGGATTACAATTCAACACACAAATCATCTACACAACATTAAGGATCAAAGTTCAAACTTCAACATCAAAAACCCTTTGCACATCATCAATCAAAAAAGCAGCAAAAAAATGACATAGCACCCATTATACTCAAACAATCCAAGAAATTGACAACAACCCAGATCATTTCAATCAAAACCCAATACATCTAGAGACATAAACAAGCAGGTAAAGATGTAAAAATGCAATTGTACCTTCAGATGCAGCCGGAGCAGGTAAGAATGGGGAATACAAAGAAAACCCAAAAACAAGAGAGATCTGTGAAGGAGACGAAGGAGGAATCAAGGGAGAAGAGGGAGTACTAGCAGTAGGTAAACGATTGAGGCAGGAGAGAGAAAGAGGAAAGATGCCTCTTCGTGGTTCACACACGCCAAATTTGACGAATGGAACAGTTGGGTCGTGGGGATGGTATGTTGGGGGCCTTTGACAAATTCTTGGGTGGAAATCGCAAAAAACAACAATTATTGGGGGAGGCAGGCAGGCCACCTTTTCGCAGCTGTACCTTATGCGTGCTTAACGTGGGTTTTTTTATTTTTATTTTTTTTTGGATTAATTACACTTTTTTAATCCTTATGCTTTGACCTAATTTTATTTTTTTTTTATAGTTTCAAATTAAATAATTTAATTCTTAAATTCAGTTTTAATTTAATTTTTTTGAATAATTTTTTGTTAATTTTATTTATATCTGTAATTTAAAAAATTGATAAATATTCAAAAAATTATTAATTTTAAGTTAAGTTTGGCAACTTTCGAAAAAGTCAAAAAGTCAAAAAATTACACAAAAAGTTAAAAAATTATCACTATTCATAAAAAAAAATATTAAAATATTAATAAACAAATATTAATACAAATCAAAAGTTAGCCGAAATGATGACTGACGTGATGTATTGGGGGAGGCAGGCAGGCCACCTTTTCGCAGCTGTACCTTATGCGTGCTTAACGTGGGTTTTTTTATTTTTATTTTTTTTTGGATTAATTACACTTTTTTAATCCTTATGCTTTGACCTAATTTTATTTTTTTTTTATAGTTTCAAATTAAATAATTTAATTCTTAAATTCAGTTTTAATTTAATTTTTTTGAATAATTTTTTGTTAATTTTATTTATATCTGTAATTTAAAAAATTGATAAATATTCAAAAAATTATTAATTTTAAGTTAAGTTTGGCAACTTTCGAAAAAGTCAAAAAGTCAAAAAATTACACAAAAAGTTAAAAAATTATCACTATTCATAAAAAAAAATATTAAAATATTAATAAACAAATATTAATACAAATCAAAAGTTAGCCGAAATGATGACTGACGTGATGAGAGGTACCAGTGATAGAGAATTTTTTTTTTTATAGTAGAATATTTATTAAATCTTAATAGTAAAGTTGGGTCCATTGGGGTTCACCATGGGTCTCCTTTTTGATAATCTGAACCGTTGAATATGTAGAAATCGTCTAGTACGATATGCCTGTAAAAAATCACGTCTATCGGATATCTCTAACTACATGATCAAATCAGTTTTGTTACAGTTAACAAAAAAAATAACACAATCAGATAGTTATCGATATCCAATCAACGTGATTTTTTACAAGCACATAGTACTCGACGAGTTCTACGCATTGAACGGTTCCGATTAGAAAAACGAGGCCCGTGGTGGGCCCTCACGGACCAAACAACACCATCCAATCAATCACGGAGAAGGAGACAATATTTCCTCATCACTCACCCAGCCGGCTCCTCTCCATCCGTACGGCCTCCAACCCTATCTTCTCCTATACACTTATTTTTATAATTTTTTAATACACATTTTTTTATATAAAAAGTCAAAAAGTTAACCCAAACATCCATTTTTTTTTCTCAACTTTTTAGTCCAAAAAGATAAAAAGTACACTTATTTAGGACATCCCAAACAACCCCTTAATCTCCAATTTATATTAAAAGATTAAATTGAAATTGCACTTAAATTATAATAATCAAATTGTTTTAATTTGAAATTATAGGAATTACAGTAAAATTTTGATCAAAATATAATGGTGAAAGGTGTAATTAATCTTTTTATATATATTATTTTTTGTAAATTGCGCTAAGAGTTCCTATAAATGAAAAGAGTAATATTAGAAATACACATTTAAGACATTTTCATATACTTCTAATAATGTGGTAAGGAAGTAGAACCCTACACAGTTGAGTATGTCACAAATAAAAAATTTACACCTATCATTTTACATTATCATAGATTAAATTGTAGGAATTTTATTAAAGATCTCAAACATTTTTCTAATTAAAATATCAGTGCAAAATAAAAAGAATAATGCCGTTCAAAATGTAATTCTTCTAAGATCTATTGTACGATTTTGCTGCATGCTCTGCTCCCAAAATGTGTGAGAAACTTGCGAGGGCAAATCCAGGTTGGTTGGTTTAAAAAGTCATGGAGAAGCAGGTTGAGTGAAAATAATATATAGATGCCATTATATAATCGAATGAATCATGGACGACACACTTTCTATATCTCCACTGTTTACAAGGTGAACAAATTATATTACAATATTAATTGGTTTTACCGTATGATCATCTTGTTTGATTTAATTTTTTAAATTATTATTTAATTATTAGTTTGTTTTTAGGTGTTTTTTTTTTTGTCTTTAGTAATTTATTTTTTATATATTTAATTCATTTTTAATTATTTAGATACAACATTTCAATTTTTTTTTTGTCTTTCATGAACTTTTTAAAATTTCTTCACAACTAACTTACGTTTTATGTACATTTTAGAAGTTAAAATAATTAACTAAAATATGAAAAAATCATTAAAAGTACAAAAAATCAAAAACAAAAAACTCAAAAGACAAATTTCAAAATTTAAACCAAATAAAATAAATGTCACCCCTTCATTTCATATCGAGTAATGAACTTATAAAAAAATCACATGTACACTCGTGTAAAGGTAAAATGGTATAGTTTTAAGCCTTATTTAATGAGAAGATAATAATCTTACTTATTGATATGATTTGATCATAAATATATGATTTTGTTAATGTGTGTCTTTAAAATATATGTTAAATTTTTTTAAAAAGTTATATATTTTATACAAAAGTGAATGTAATAAAAAATATATAGTTTTAATTTTTTTTTAATATATCCTAAAAACACAAGTTAAGAAAATTTTAAAATATAATTTGAGGAAGTCCATGCTAACTTAAATGGTATGATGGGTTCATCAATTATTGCTTTCTTCTTTTTTTTTTATATATATATATTTTAAATTTGATTATTACTTTGAATTGACTCGAATGATTACAATAATATAAAGTCCATTATGAGAGCAATTTTATATGGAAAATGTAATGGTACATACACATCCCTCCAAGGGTGTGCATCATATGTATTATATCACAAATTGGTGTAACTTAATTACAAAATTTTATAACATCAATCACAAAATATGTAACTTCGCCATAAATTAGTGTAACAAAACATATCATAATTAATCACAAACTTTTGTTACACGAATTACAAAATTTTAGACATTTTGCTACTCTAATTTGTGGTGAGATTACACATTTTGTGATAAAATTACACCAATTATAATAAGGTGCATAAGAGTGTATACAATAGAATTTTCCATTATATATATATATATATATATTGTTAAATATGTGAGGATTCCATAAAAAATACTTTTAATTATGATTATCATGCTAAAAAATATCACAAATTTAAATTAGTCAAACTTGATGGTTTTTAAAATATTGATATGAAATTTTGCCCATGTCACAAATTTAAATTAGGCAACTTTAAAATGCGTTTTGAAATGATGCATAATTGAATTTTTAAGTCAAATCTACCTCATCTTTCTCAAAGTCATCACATAACTGTCAGTGTCAGCCACCACACTTGGCATTTGGCTGAGTGGCTTAAGGCATTGGTTTGCTAAATCGACATACAAAAAGATTGTATCATAGGTTCAAATCCCATTTCTTTCGGCATGAAAGTGGAATTGGCGGACAAAATTACGTAGAAAAATATACCACCCTCTAAAGTATCACTAGTGAGTTAGTACACATTTAAAAAAAAAAAAAAAACAAAAAACATAATAGTGGGTAAGACTCACTGTCATATCATTAGTGCTACCACTAATTAGTGGTCTCAAACATTTTCCTGCCACATCATTAGTGCTACCACTAATTAGTGGTCTCAAACATTTTCCTAAATAATAATGTATCTATCTATCTATCTATACTATTATAAAGTAAACACCCCTTATGGTGTCTTGAAACTTTTGTTTCTTATGCTGCCACATGTCTACTTTTTTATTTGAAATAAAAAAAAAAAATTAGATAGATGAGGGGAAGAGATTTGAATCTTAGATTTATATATCAAATGAATAAGACTCTTACCACTTAACTAGCACACAATATATGATAAATATTTTATTTTATTTTTATTTATTTGAATTACACACTCAACCGCTAGTAATAATAAAAAAACACACAAAGCCTCCATAGCCAATCTGGATCAGTTCTCTCTTTGTAATGTTCTTGTTTCTAGAAAAATATTTTACATGCAAACACAGAAATTGTTTCGGAAAACAAAAACCAGTTTGCGATTTTGTGAGTGTGAGAAACACTTGAAACAGAAACAGAAACTCCTAGGCTGTATGAATACAGAAAACGAAGACGATCAAGGTTAGTGTTTAACACTATGTTCTTAAATGACATGAATGACCAGAAAAACTGGATGATTCAACAAAATTGGACCAATATAACTCAAATGGGTAATTTTAGCAACGAAATTGACAAAATTGAAACTCAAAAACGCAAACTTCAAAAGCCATAGGTGTGATTTATCCAAAAAAGAACCATGAACTCTTCTTAAGCAGTGAAGGAAAAATCCAAAACTAGAAAGCTACATACATCAACAAAGAAATTCCTTGTCTTTCTGGTCAACCACTTCACCTGCACAGAGAATGTGCATTACTACTTCTAAATATGTCTAAAAGCAAAACAGTCTTTCAATTTGGAGTTGGATCGTAGCAGCTAGATAGATTCTGGTTCCTCAACAGATTTCTTGTATTCCGGCTTGAGCTCATATGACCCTTGATTAGTTCCCTTGTTGTTGTAGACACACAGGTCCTTCAGCAAATCTTTCAGAAATTGCTGCAAAGAGATCAAGTGAAGGCGTAAATTCTCAATCTGTATAGTTGTCAGATCAACACAAATAGCAGCATAATCAAGATAATGCAAAATGCTAGCTCGAATGATTCATTTTCATTTATAAACATTCAAACCTTCCACCTCACAGTATTGTGATGTAGTTTGGAAATCCATATTAAAGCATAGGCTTGTAGTGACACTAATAGAAGCCGCCATCACTATATTTGGGAAAGCTGTCCTTAATTTCACCAATGTTGTATATGTATATTTTAAAGGGTAAATTACACTTACACCCCTTAAGATTTGGGTTTAATATACATCACCCCCTGACGTTTGGAAAATTACACTGGCCCCCTTGTCATTGTAATTATTTAGACAAAATTAACGTTAGTATAAAAAAGACATTGAATTCATACACACTTTCTTTTCTTGTTTTGCTTTACTTCTTCTGTTTTTTTTTTGTTATTATTTTATTTTTAAATGTAATTTCCTCAGTTTTTCTACCAGGAGTTGTTGCCTTTTATATAAGCAGGAGGGTTTGTGAAATGAGACTATTAACCACAGGGGTGGTATAATGTCAGGAGGTGAGATGTAATCGGACCAAACCTCAGAAGGTGTCAGTGTAATTTACCCTATTTTAAATCTACATGCATATACATTCATGGTCCCTCACAAGAACAAAGATTCTAGTATTTAAGGACTTCTAATACCGGACCGGACTATATTTATGCCCTCTCTTATTTTCTGAAAGGAAGCATAACCCGTAACAACAATTATATTGAACTACAAAGATGTCAAGGAATATATATATACATATATATATATAATTGTGATCAGCACTCAAATCCTTGATTCAAACACAACCTTAGAACATTGCACTTGGCTAATGTAAATTTTTTATTGCCAAGGAAAATACGTTGGTCAAGTGGGATGTGTCTAAGGTTGTGTTTGAATCAAGGAGTTGAGTGGAGATTTGTGGAGAGAAAGGAAAAGTGAAAAAAAAGTCGGCTTATATTTCTTTCACTTTTCCCTTCCTTTTTTCCTTTCCCTGCACAAATTCTTCCTCAAATCCTAGATCCAAACACAGCTTAAAGATAATGTTGATGGAATACAAGTTCTGGTATTAAGACTTGAGAGCATATCGTGCTGTGTTAACAAGTAGTATTATAGAAAGGACATTAGCAGAATGCTATTGTTCTTATAGCTGTCTAAGATTCAGGAAAAAAATATCCACAAAAACAGAAAAAAAGAAAAAAAAAAAAAAAAGTGATCAAGTAACATACTTCAGGCTGGTCTGTCTCATGGAGCAGTTGTTTCAAAGTCCAATTTGGTTGCCTCTCAAAGAGCTTAAACATAATTTGTTCCATCTCTCCACGGTCCCTTCTCGTTCTTTTCATGTCTGAACTCTTTGCTGGTACTTTCTTCTTATCCTATTAGAAAACAGAGAAGCTATCTTACTTTGACGGTAGATGGTAAAAATTTAGATTTGTTTCCCTCCTCTCCACTCACCCCACCCCCATGTTCAAAGGACCAAAGAGAACCCACAAGAACCACAAAAAGATAGCAAAATAAGACCAGTGTGAGAAATTTTAAAGGAAGAAAAAACGATAGCAATAAGTACACTGGGTCCAGTAGTCTTTAGACCAATCATCCCTGGCAGGGGTCTCATATGTGTTCCATTATCATTGTCAATCACCTGAAAGAGGATTCAAAAAATAAGGAAAGGAAGAAGAAACTAGACTCCCTATGTTTGGTATGAAAGCAAGAACTTCAAATAATGACACCTGTATCTGCCTAGTTTTGGTCATATATTTGTTTGTTCTTTCACGGCAGAGTTTCCCATACTCCTCAATGTTTTCATTGTGAGGCTTCATGTCAAATTTGTGAAATATTTTCCCCTCAACAGAAAGTTTTCCTACAAGACAGAAGAAATGTCATCCATATCTGTCGAATTTGTTCAACAGCCTTGGAAAAAAGACAAACCATCTTAGAGGTATAACCTAATGTCAGGCGCATTTCAGAAAATTAAAAGAAATTGATACAGCACATGGATATCTCCTCAACACATTCAGTCCCGATCTGATTCTGATTGAAGCATCAACAATCTTCAATTTCAATAATTATAAACACCCAACACGAGTGAATGCTATCCATATTCATTAAGTTTGCTAGACAGTAAGTCTAGGAGAGAAACTAGACATCTTGGACACAGTTCATGAATTTATAAAATGAAATGAAATTGGATATGTCCACAATATAAAAAAATCTTAACCTGATTATAACTGACCCGTCACCGAATCTTCAATTTCATAATTATGGGTACCCAAGACAAGTGATTTACTTGACAGTACTAAAAGAAAAGGTACTGACATGAATCCTAAACAATTGGAGGAAGAAGTAAACAGTGTAATTTTTACCATGACCAATGTTCAAATCTCAGTGTGGATTATGTGAAGGGCCATTTTTTTCCCCAAATTTTGGTTCTCAAGCAAAATGAATATAAATTTAAGATTTGATTCTCTGCATTAAACTTTAAATTTTGTGGATTGATGAATAATTATTTGAAATGGAAAATTGCAAAGGGTTCGAGGCACTTCCCCAAAGATGCGATCTTTATCTATGAGTGGTAATTTGATAAAGATTCAACAGTTGGCCATATAATGAAGCAGCATAACCACTCTCTAATAAGGTTATTACACAAAATATGTAGTCTCAAATTCCACAGAACTAAAAATCCTTCAAAGAAAAGCAGAGAAGAAATTGTAAAGAGGGATCTTATCAGCACCTCCCAAGTGACAATTTGACCGGCCATGATAGAAGCATTTAATTCATTCATGCCACTGAAAGGAGGCCAAAGGATCTGTAAACTCACCTTGGGTTGACTCAGAGAACACAGACATTGGAATGAAGTCTGTAGACATGTCCATAGAGTAACATTTTGGTACATTTCCAGATTCAGTGCCCGCCAATTCCATGGTGAACTGATCATCATGAAACAATGCATGAAAATCGGAAGAAAAAAAATATTGATTGCAAAGAGGATGGATATGCAAAGAAAAAACTCCAATCCTTCTCGTTGACCTGTAAAGAGTGACAAAATAAACCACCAAAAAAAGAGAAAGAAAAAGAAAAAAAAGAGGACAGAATATGATTAAGAAATAATATATTTTTTTTCTTTAACAAAACTTAGATAATAGAGAAACTAAGATGTCTCAAATTTATTTTTATGAATTAGAGGGAAAATAGTATAAGATTCACCAAAGCCTCAACTGTTCAGAAACCCAAAGAGGATAGCCTAGAAAGGCAGACCAAACGCCTAAAAATAGAATAATTTCAACAACAAATATTTCAACTTAAAGACAGAAACCTCTAATCTCTCGGCAACTCTCCCCTAAGCTGTCCCTCTTTCCAGAAAATGATACCAGATAAGCCCCTGGAAGCTATTCTCCAGACATAAGCAGTTAGCTTAAGCCTGAAACATAAGTCGTCGGTACAAATTCACAAGGGCAACTCCTTAAGAGCACGTTTTGTACGATGGAATGCCCATTCTAGCTTTGCATTCCCTTTCTTTTGTTTGGTACGCGTTATCTAGGTGGGAATAGTTATTCCATTGGAATAGCTATTCCAACAAAGTGTGAGAATACCTATTCCTTCATCTAACCTAAAGAATGGCCATTCCATTAACACTATGAAATCACCATAAAGTTTTATCATTATTATTTTTTTGACACTTAAAAAAAATATATAATCATTTAACTATCACTACCATTCCCTTCGCCTACCGCCCTACCACCATCACCACCACCACTACCACCACCCTATTGCCACCACAACCACCACCTAAAAAGTACGGACACTTCTAAGAAGGTGACGTAACCGTGTCGTGTCCGTGTCGGACACCAACACTCTTTGGACACTCTTAGGACACATATCCGACAATCTTCAAACGTGTCCTATTTTTTAAATTTTTTTAAAGAGCCGGACATTCTTTGGATACTTAAAGGACATACGTGTCAATTGCTTAAACACGCGTATCTATCGATTGGACACACGTGAAACTAATTATAAGTTTGAACAAAATAACTTACTATACAATAATAAAACAAAACCCATATAAATTTATAGGAATTAGTGTCATATTGCATTTTTTATTATATTTTAATGATATATTTATATATATAATATATTGTTAAAATCCACCCACTACACCACTACCACCTCACCTACTCCACTAAACCTAACCCACTACACCACTATCACCTCCACTTCACCTACTCCACTAAACCTAACCCACTACATCACTACCACCTCCACTTCACCTACTCCACCTACCACCTACTACCACCTACTCTTCTATATATAGGAATCATTGTAACATATCAATATACATCAATCAATAATACAATCATTTCTCTTTATACATTAAATTTCTACATATATAATAAATATACAAAATTATATATTTCATGCGTGTCTCCCATGTGTCGTGTCCTGCATTTTTTTAAAATTAACGTGTCGATGTGTTTGTGTTGTATCCGTGTTGTGTCACATGTCTGAAATAATAAAACAAAACCCATATAAATTTATAGGAATTAGTGTCATATTACATTTTTTATTATATTTTAATGATATATTTATATATATAACATATAATAAATATATAAAATTATATATTTCATGTGTGTTTCCCATGTGTCTTGTCCTGTATTTTTTTAAAATTAACGTGTCAATGTGTCTGTGTCGTATCCATGTTGTGTCGCATGTCTGTATCCATGCTTCTTAGACCGCCACCATGGTCGGCAAACAAAACCCATATAAATTTATAGGAATTAGTGTCATATTACATTTTTTATTATATTTTAATGATATATTTATATATATAACATATAATAAATATATAAAATTATATATTTCATGTGTGTTTCCCATGTGTCTTGTCCTGTATTTTTTTGAAATTAACGTGTCAATGTGTCTGTGTCGTATCCATGTTGTGTCACATGTCTATATCCATGCTTCTTAGACCGCCACCATGGTCGGCGCTACAACCACCACACCACCATACTACCACCACCATACTACTAATGTCGCCACTACTACCACCACAACCACTATCACTGCATCCACAACCATAAAACCACTATTATTACCATCGTTAGGACCACTACCCTACTACTTGCTCGACCACTACCACCACTATCTCTGTTGCCACAACCACTACCTTATCACCAGTACTACCAGCTTCATAAACATCACATCACCACCATCACCATTGCAAGAACCACCCTTCTACTACCATTGGCCGCCACCGCCACAACCACCACCATTGCAACCACAACACCACCTTACCATCACCACTAACGCCACAACAACCTACCACCACCACTACCATCATCCTACTATCATTGCTATCACCACCACCACTACTACGACTCACACCATCACTTCCACTACTATCAACATTATCATGATCTATGTAAATTTTTAATTTGTTTGTTACTAGCTTGTTAAAAATAATATTTAAAAAAAAAAATATTTCATTCCATGAGTTTAATAGGTATAACTAAACATGAGAATGAGAATTATCATTTTATTCTTATGCCATCCCATGTTGGCACCCAAACAATGGAATGGAAATAGACATTCCATTCCATTCAATCTTATATTCCATTCTCAATCTCATTCCATTTCCACTTCATTTCATTCCATCGTACCAAACATGCTCTAAGAACTGTAACAACTTTTAAATACTAACACTGAGAATATAGGAAAGCTTGAAAGAGGACTCCAAATACCAATTGGTTGACTGAATGACTGTTTCTACCTCTTTTAGTACATGTGGCTTTTGTATTAGAGGTTCTTACACGTACTTCCCAAAGGGTCCCCACAAGTCTACTCACCTTCAACCATTCACAGAGTTCCCAAAGGACACCTCTATATTTAGTGAGCCTCCTCTACCTTATTCTCACCAGGTTGCCTCCATTCTCACCTAGCCCACCTTTGGTGGTCTCTTGCTATCTTAGTGCCTACCATACTTCCCAAAGGGCCCCACACAAGTCTACTCACCTTCAACCATTCACAGAGTTCAACCAACTTTTCGGATAAATCAAGATCAAACCACGAATGTCCTTAGACATTAATAAAAATCTAATTTAAAAGGCTTCCTAGTAGTCAAGGTTTGCTAGCATGAACTTGAATGAATCAAGTAATCGAAAATGGGTTGACAAGATTCAAATCCCCAATGACAAATATACAGATTCTCAAATCCAGATTAGGGTTCAGTAACCTTGCTGCCTCTTTCTACGTCTCCTGAAAATTGAATTATAATGAAGTTTTTCATTACTTCATTCCAAACCCTTCCACTTCAAAGGAACACCCTATAGAAGATCATTCATATGGCAGGTGATTGCTCAATTGAAGTAGCAGACGTTATTTCAAAGCTGATGTAGCTTAATTCACCGATGACATATGAAGAATCTTTGTCATCATTAATCAGCAGTCTTTGCCAGATTTCTCATTATTAATCAGCAGTTATTAAATCATCATACTTGAGAAGTCTCATAATCACTGTTCATTTACAAACCAACAAAAGGTAATTATAAAAGGGTACTCAATTTGAGAACCACAAATGTATCTACCCCTGAACTTTAGCACTTAGACCATCTCCCGTGGTTCACCAAATGATTCATCAAATTTAAATTTGATATAAAAACTCACTGCTTGCTGCGCCAACCCATCACCAAATCTTTCATCAAATCCAGGATTTCTCAAATCTTTCATCAAAATGAGCATGGATGTGCCTTTTATCAAATCATTGTTCATAGCCATTTGATTTTCACCACCGTATGTCCCCCGGATGACCACCTTAAGGCAAAATTTAGTGAAAAAATTACCTTGGCCAGTCGATCGACCAAACATCTTCCTGGTCGACCGGTGGTCTGATGAAGTTTTAAAAGAGTACTTGATATCAAATGGAGCTTTTACTCAAAGTTGATGAGTAAAAAAGATGAACCGTTGGAGATGCCCTTAGTTGGTGCAAATATACAGAGAAACATCTATAATCTGATTTCTGGTATTTTTAAATGTTTGGAGTTTTGTAAAAATTAGAAGGAAATGCAACAGAACAACTCACTCACCATTTAACACCCTACTTTGTCCCTGCAATGTGTTTTGGATGCATGAGTTCTAATGAAAGAAAAAAAAGAGACTGCTAATTAACCACAAGAGAGCCTCAACTCTGCCTCAGCCTCATCAATTATAGTAGAGAAAACAACTAATTTGATTCCAATTAGAGCACATTCCACCTTACTCGCTAATCAGGTTATCTCTTTTCTCTTTATTCTCTTGAAAAATTGAATGGAAATTTTATCAGTGAACAAATATTTTTTGTAGGGGAATTACAGCACAATGGGAATAAAAAAAAATTACAAAAAACATGTGAAATGCTGCGGGGGGGTGCAAGTTGCACCCCCCATAGTTGTGTAATAAAAAAAATGGATGTAATTCCCCCTATTTTTTTTTATAAGTATATCAAAGAAAAGATATTATAAACAAAAACGTTTTATTACACTACACCCATTAGCTTAATTAAATTCAAATATAACTCAGCACATGTTGTTCACATTGATTCAAAAACCAATCTGTTCTGGTAAGTTTGTTTAGCATGAAAGAGTAGGAAACTACAAGAAAATTAATTTTTTCTGTACAACACATATTGGCAATGGTAACTGAGTTTTTAATTTCTTTTACAAAAAAAAAAGAATAATAATAATGATGATGATGATGATGATGATGAGTTGTTATCTATTATACATTATACTTAGGACTCTTGTTTTCTATTCCTATTATATTTGGGTCTCTTGTATTCCTATACACCTAAGTTTCTTGGCCTATATATACAGGCTTCTCCTATTGTATTGATTATATTGAATATATACAATACATAATGGCCTTGTTTGGTTTGATTTTCAGAAAAAATTTTGAA